GCTCTCCTTGAAGACATTCACATGGACAGAATCCTTCTGAAAACCCCAGGGACCACATCTGGCCCCTGTATGTCATGCATCATACTGGACCCTGAGAGCATTGCTCATATATCCCCTCAGGAATGAAGGACAACATTCCCCCAGATGCTATCAAGGTCATACCCTTCCCCCAAGTCAGTTAACACCAATCAATGTAGGGGCAGGAAAAACAAAAACAAAAACAAAAACCCTCACTCCACCCAGGGACAAATCTGAAAGGCCATTCAAGCTTTGGATTTTCCTTTGGGTTGGATGAGGACCTTGTTGAGGCTGCCTGGAAACTCCATTTCGCCCCTGCCCAATCTTGCTTCCTCCCCATCTCCTCCAGCTGCTAATGCAAAAGCACAACCTAAAAAACTTCCCACATGCTAATCTTGCCCTTTGGGGTCAGATTCTGGGGAATCCAACCTGCCACAGGCCCTATTGCCATGATTGAGGTGACCGGAAGTTAACTTCCAGATGCAGCCCTCCACTCAGCTGCCATAGGCCACTTCAGCTAGGCTTTTAGCCATGGTGGTCTCCAGCATCTCTCAAACTCCAGGGTCAGGCTTCAGGCTCTCTGCATAGTCTCCTGTGAGCCCCAGGAGAGAGGAGTAAGAAGCTCCCATCCATTCTAGGAATGGGGACGGTTCATGTTAACCAATTGCTAGTCCTTCTATATATCATTCCATGCCCTCTCTTAAGGTGGACAGTGGGTAGAGAATGCATGCAAAACCATTTTGGAAGGGGTGCAATAATAAGTTGGCACCTATTATTGTGGGAATTCAATGGAAACTGAGGCACAAGAGTTCCGTTATAATACCTTGCAATTTGCCAACACCACTCCACTGGCTGGGATAGATATCTCTGACCCTCTCTCTGAGCCAATCTTAGTCATCCAAGATTTAGGGCAGAGCCTGGAGGCCAATGTCATTATTTTTAGTGACAGAGCACCCTCTTTTCTGTGCATGCCTTCTTCTAAGGTGGGGCTAGCATGTCCTTTCCATCAGTCATTCCTCTCACATGGGTGATATTTTATCACCTCAGAAGTCACACCCATCAGCCGGGCAGCCTGGTCAGTTCAAGCAAAATTTCTCTGGGTCCTAGAGGTGGACAAAACTGGGACTCTGGAATTTTCACTTCCTCCATTTACTCCCTCCCCACCAAATTTGCCACACCTATTGTTTAGACTCTGATTTTTCTCTTAATTTTCATATTTAAAATAATTTTAAAGTACATGAGTTATATATATATTTGCCAATTTAAATGTGATTTGTGGAAGACAAAGGAATCATTACCCCTTTAAAATGCCTGTTGATATCAGAAGCTTACTTAAAAAGTGAGTAAATTTGAATTCTCAATCTGGGAAATGCAGTGTGTGTTCAACTGGACTGTTTTATCATGGAGGAAAGGGAACCCCCTAGCACTCTCTTATAAACACCTAAGATCTTTCATTGGCAAAACCTCGTCCTTAGACCTAGCAATGGAAAACATTATTTTCTAAGCTATTGATAATCCAGGTGTGAGGGATGGAGAAGCCAGGGTTAATTATAACTGAATCCTTATCAATGAATACTTGCACATTCCAGTAGAAAAAAGTTTGGCCTCTTGTCAATAAAGTCACAGAACTCCTTGTGAAAGATGACAAATTCTGGATTTGTGGGACCCAAAGTGACAATGTTTAATAGTAGATGTAGCTTCTATGTGTGAAATGACCTCATGACTTTGGCCATACACAGGGAGTATGATTTTTCTGGTCCTGGAGTTCAGGGACATAGAGTGTGAGATGAGATTTTGTAAAATTATAAAAGGGTTAGTTTCATTTGGACGGAGTAACATGCAAGGTGAGGAAAGAAGTGGCTCAGAAAAGGCTTTTCAATATAGGAGGAGCTGTGGCCTCTGCCAGATGGTCTTTCCTTCCATCTCTGCTCTCCCTACTGCCAAATCAACTAAGTGGCCAGATGAGGGTCATATGGATAATACACAAGACAAAGTATGCATCAGACAGGGACAAGTGCACTTGCATGACCCTGAGAGTGCCTCCTTCAATTTTGAACTCTAAGGGCCTCTCTTGCCTATTCTTGATCCCACTGTGACAATGTATTGTTGAAAGTTGTCAAATACTAATGAAATATCTCAGCATGCCAAGACCTCTTCTGATAAATCACACCCATTCCAACCTGATCTCCAACCTCATCCTGGATCACACTCTTTGATAAGGACTACTGACGCCATCTTTCTTCCACCTGAGTGTTGCATCCTAAGTGCCTGCTCTTGTTTCTAAGTTAACTCCTTTCTCTAGCTTATCCTTCTAATGGAATACTTTACAAGAGAGGGAACTAAAGACCCATTCTTGCCCCTTGTTAAAACAAGTAGTTTCAGTTAATTCCCTTGGTGTCACAGCTTTTGTCCCAGAGCAGTGCAGTAAGGAGTTGTTAAGATAGGTGGGGAGATTTGCTGGGAGATGGGCAATTTGGTCCCTTCTAAGCACCTCGGGAGCTTTGCTTATGGGTGCCCTTTGCTGTCCTCTGTAGCCCTAATATCAGTGTCTCTAGAGATACCCCTCTAAATCTGGGACTCCAGGTCCCCTCTCCTGTCATCTTTGAAAGGTTTCTCATTTAGTTATTCATGGGCTCTAAAAATTAAAGGAAGTCTGTATCTGGTTCACACTCTCAGCTTCTTCTTGTAAGGGTTGTTGAAATGAATCCTGGAAGAAATCTTGAGAGATCACTGGACCATTCAGCTCTACTCTAATCAAGGATGGATCCAATCCTTTGAGGACTTTATTATCTAGGACTTTTGGTGAATCTCTCAGACACTGCCAAAATCCCAGACATTCAAAGCTATTCACTGGGATTTCTACAAAAAAAAAAAAAAAAAAAAAAAAAAAAATCCTGTTGTTTATCCTTGTTTGGGAACCTTTCACTTACAGGGCAAAATCCCAATTTCACAGGCTGAACATGAGGAAGGAGCTATGTTAATATGGCTGGTCTGCTTTTGAGTGACCCTTTACTTTTCTTCTTTCTTCTGGTTTTCATTTTGTTTGTTTTTGTGCTGAGGATTGAACCTGAGCCTCACATATGCTAAGCAGACCTCTAATCCTACTTTTCCTCTAAAAAAAATTACAAAAGCTCATTTCATAACCTCTACTTTACTGAACTGTTCTCTATGGGATGGAGGTGTTGTTTTGTGACCTGCCAAACACAGGACTCAGTGGCTCCAGTGGAGAATAACCTGGAAGATCCCCCCCCTCCAATCCCAAGTGAAGTAAGTAAGTTTATAGTCTATTAGAAATGTGTCTACCAACTTGAAATTCTCATTAAGATAAATAAATGTGGCTACTAGGATTGGCAAGTTGGAGAAGCTCTGAAGGAATTCACTCACCAGCTTCCTAGAAAATGTGCAATCTTTGAATTCACTGTTAGGCATGTTTTTTTGACTTCTAGGTCTATATTCATGCTCAGCAGCTCTAGGAAAATGAGAAAATATATCCGGTTTCCAAACTATCTGTTGTCCCCCACCCCATTCTACTTTTCGAATCATTTTGAAGGCTCCTGAAAGGATTCTTGCCTCTCTTCCTGTGTGGAAGGTGCACAGGGGGTGGGAGGGGACACCTTCTGAAACAAACCTATTTTCCCCAAATCGTTTCTGCATCTGATTCTAAAATAAAATGTTGCCAGAAGCTAAAGGGAGAGGAACCGCAAGGGTTCTGCCCCAGAGCGTACCAGTTCTTGGGCCCTCGCTTTCTCTTAAACTCACAACTGTGAGTCTCTTGGGCCCTTCTGCAGGCTTCATAATTAAGGACCTCCCCTGCTCCTTCCTGAGGTTTCTCAGCTGGATCACACAATATAGGTAGGGAATGGGAAGAATCTAAGTGCAGAGCCTGCGCACAGAACAGATCCCAGGCAGCATTCAAAGCGCAGGTGGAAAATCCCGGCGAGCCCTTGGATCCACGATTTCCCAAAACAGTAGCTTTTACCATCTCAAGACATCTTGAACCTTGAATAACTCGAGCGCAAGTCTGAGACCCAGTGACTTGATGAGATGCAGCTCTCACCCCAAGGTCACACTGGAGAACCAATTCTGAACTCATCGGAGCTTGCGCCGAGATGGGAGGGATATTGAGGGAAGAGCGCCGCAGGCCAGATAGCTCTAAGGCCTTGCTCTCTCGCATCCCCGCCACAGCCAAACCGCCCAGCACAATCCCGCAAACAACCCGGAGGAAGTATTGGGTGGGTGCAAACCCTACTTCCATTTCATCGCACGGTTTCTCTCGGATCTATTTCCCTGCCTTTCCTCTCAGAAGGCAAAGTTAGTTGCGTTCCACCAAAAACGTGTGCATCGCCCAGTCAAAAAGCGACGCGGCAGGGGTCCTCAAAATTATTCCCACCCGGCCGAGGAGCGACACAGCGGGACAAGGGACGCGGGAGCGCAGCGCGGTGGAGGGTCGCTGCGAGGTCCAGTTGCGCGCGGGATCTTCCAAAGCCGGAGGTCCACTTCTCGTCCCAAGGGCACTGCGCGGGTGGCGAGGACATAGGCACCATGGCACACTCCCGCCGTCGCAGCACTTCCGAGGAACTCGTTGCCACCACTTGGCCCCTCACAAACTGTGCCTCCTGGGAGCGAAGTGCCCAGGGGGTTACCCGCCATCGGGGGAACCTCAAAAACAACTCGCAGAACCGCGGAGCGAGCTGCGGAGCGAGCCGCGGCACCGGCGGGCCGAGGCCAAGCGGAGAGCGGGGGCAGGAGGCGGGCCGGGGTCAGGGCAGAGGCTGCGGCCGCGCCTCCCCATTGGCCCAGACGCAGTGGGAAGCCTGGGCGCGCGGCCGGCGCGGGCGGAGCCTGCTAGCGCGAGCCCGCCCCGTGTGCTCGCGCCCCTCGCACCCTCCCCCGCGCGGGCCACCCGAGTTTTTAAAGTGGGCTGGCAGCTGCGGGAGCCCGACATTCGGGAGCGGCCAGCTGCACAGCTCCGGCGTCCGCCGCGCTCCGCCCCAGCTCTCCTGAGGCGGCCGTACAATCCTCGGCAGTGTCCTGAGACTGTATGGTCATCTCAGCAGCCGCGCCCGCCTGGTCCCGGACTCCTACCAACTCCCGCCGTCCAAGCCACTTTCTTTTCTTTTTCTTCTTCTTCTTTTTTTAAACTCAGAAAAGTGACTCCTGTCCAAGGAGAAAAGGAACTTTGATTCTCTTCTCGCCGCTCTCTTTTCGCCTGTGACAACCTCCTCCCACTCCTTTCGCCGACTCCGCCTCCTTGTGCAGGTTCCTCCCTGTCACCTCTCTCCACCCCTCCCCCGCACTTAGCCAGACGCCCGCAAACTTCCACCTGACTGTGCGGGACGCTTGGACCTGCGAGCACCAAGGACCTTTCATACCCGCCCGGGTCTCAGGGAGCAGACGAGGGCCACAGGGAAGGCAGCGTTTGCAGCCCCCACCGACCGGGAAGCCCAGGTGTTCGACGACTCCAAGAGCCATAGCCACGATGACAGCTGACAAGGAGAAGAAAAGGTAAGCGGGCGTCAGATTCGGCAAGGAAGCTGGTCAGAGGTAATGGCCGAACTGCGGCGGGGCTGGCGCTACCGGGAGCAGTTGGGAGAGGCGTGCAGAAAGTCTTCGGGCCAGAGGTTCGGCTTGGAGGGTTTTGAGCTAGAGAGCAGGTGTCGGGTTTGGGAACCTGCGTTTTAGTATTGCAGTTTTGTGGTTTGAAGGAATCGCGAATCCGTGCGTGCAATGAGACCCAGAGACCCAAGGAGATGACCCTGAGGTCGAGGGTGCTCCCGCGGCGCCTTTCAAATCTCCGGTCTCGGGGCACCAAACTACCGCGGCCAGCTGGTTGAAATGTTTCTGGGTTGATGCCTACGATTTTCCCCAGTCTCACAAGTAGGGGCAGCAGCCACGCCTCTCTACCTCCAGACCCCAGGTCCTTCCAAATGCTCTCCTATGCCTGCGATGAGCCCCAAATTAGTAAGGAAGGGGTGGAAGTCGGAGTGAGACGAAGGCACGTGCCCCAGAGGAGAGAGGGCCTAGGTCCCAGGCTCCAGACGCCACTGAAACTTGTAAAGCCCCTTTTCTTTCAGCCCGCATCTTGATTCCGTAGGAGAGTGCGTAGTGACCTGGATTGCCCTGCGGGGGCAGGTGTCTTAAAGTGCAGGGAGGGAATGGCGACACTGAGAGTCTGACTCCTAAGAGGACAGAGAAGGGCAGCCACCAGCAGCCCGCCTGTCCTCTCCAATCTTTCGGCTCTGGGTGAGAGGCGACTGGGTTCAACTCTCGCTGCCCTCCCACCTCCTCCGGTCAGCACTGGGTCCCTAGAGGCCGGCCTTCTCAGAGCGAGGGTTGGAGTGCACAGCTTCGCGGCTCAGATGTGGGTACCGCCTTACCTCCCGCAAATATACGTGGCTGCCGCCTGGCCACTTAACTCCTCTCTCCACCAGCGCGGTCCCAGTGGGCTAGAGCTTCCCATTCCCGCGCTTGACAGGGCTGGGCTGCAGGTGAAGCCACAGAAGACCAGGTGGTGACCCGGGGGTGGTGCGGGACCCGGTGGACCGACCCATGAGGGGAGAGCCTGAGTGGCTCGGAGGGCTCTGTGCTGGAGCGGATTTGCCCTTTTCCGCTGCCACTTTGGGACCCGAGCCAGAAACAGTGTATCCTCCGGGTCGAAAGCGGCGGCTCCCACCTCGGGGCACCGATAAGGATTTGATAAACCAGAGCGGATCGCACCCGTCCTGGCTGGGCGCCCGGGCCCTTCACTCCCAGATCGCTAGGGGAGGGGATTGAGCTCCGCTCGCCATTCTGGCCGAGCCCCCTTCCAGAGACACCCCACCAGCCTTTCAGAGCTGTGTGAGAAGCAGCTCAGGCCAACTCTCGTTGCCCCTTAAATGTCGCGCCCCCAGGCCCGAGGCAGGTGAAGGAGCCCTTGACACACTGCCCTAGCGTCCGCAGGGCCCTCGGAACAGCTCTGAGGTCCCTGTGTCTTGAGAGCAGCTAAGCAAGGGAAAAGACTCTAAGATTCCAACGCTTTTTGTAAAGCTAGCCATAATACCAATACTAATAATCGTTGGGTCAAACAACGAAGTTATAGACCGCCCCTCGGGAGCACTCTGGGTTCCGGAATCGGCGAGGGAACTTACTGTACATTTTACTACTGTGATGCCTATCGGCCAATGTCGCAATCACGGGGTGGGGCCTGATGGTAATCTTGACAAATGTGTGAAGTGTCAGCTTCTCCCGCGCGCGCCGGGTCCTGTGTTATTATGTATATCAATCTTCGCTAGAAACTTGGGAGCAGGGGGGAAATGATTGCGACACGCCCGGCTGCTGCGGCGCCTCCTTGTTTTGAGCTGATGGAGAGATGGAGGGAGCCTGAGCCGAAAGAAAGTTGTGTTACTGAGACTCCAAATTGTTGGTGAGAGTGGCAGCTTTAAGAACTACTGCGGGGACTGCCTTAGAACCCCCTATGAGGCCACTGCATGTGTTGTGGCAATGCCCCCCCCCCCCCCCCGCGCGTGGCAGTGCCACTGTGCTTGCCCTCTGAGACCGGCCTGGATTTTTGTGCAGAAGAATGGCAGGACACACAGAGTGTCCCTCCCCATTCACAGAACCCTGAGTAACTGTCCAGTTTCTGTTGGACTAATCATTTTGAGACTGATTTACTTTTGGCGTTTGGCTCTGTTTGCTGGTTGCAGGCTTCTTGGAGGACCAAGATGAAATTAAAAGATGTGAACCAATAATACATCGAATGTTGATGTTGTCATGTAAGCAGCTGTTGGAAGCTTTCCTGAGTGCCTTACACAGGTGGCATGACACCCTGGGAGCTCCCCACAGATACTTCTGCCTATCAATTGTTGAAAAGATTTGTGTTTCTTTTGGTTCAAGAGACATTTCTTCTTGAAAATATAAGGCCAGAAGCACTTTTGCAACGTTTTTTCTAAGAATAGCCTGTCAAGAAGTGGGCAGAATGGTCATATGTGGATAAATATGTTAATACGTTCGTAATAACACAGACTTTGCTTTTAAATGTTGGCTGGCAGGCAGGCCTTGAGAGAAGGTACTAAAGTGATTTATTTAGGTTTTTGGTGGTGGCAGTCTCATTAACTAGCAGGGTTCCTGATACTAGCTAAATGTGGAAGTTCCTGAGCTTGGGGATTGAAGGGTGATTCTGGTGAATGTCAATGAGATCCTTGGATATTCAGGGATCAAAGTCCTGTCCCAAAGCCCAACTGGAGTCTGAGCACCTTTCAGTAATGCTTCTTACTACTTAGGGTGAGGGCAAAGATGGAAGGGGAATAGAAGTCACCTGGACCAGAACTTTCCAAATGTTCTCCCTTCCCATGCCAGCTGGACTTAGTTGTTCCCTTAATAAAATAAAATCAAAGTCCTTTTTTTTTTTTTCCAACTTTGAAGGAAAAATACTGCTGGACAGTTTTTCTCAATTGAAGCTTATTTTTTAAATAAAGATTTCTTCAACATTTGATATCAGTTTTCATTGCATTACCAGAAATGCAGGAGATGGCACAGAAATGATGTAACACATGATCAGTTCAGATATTTAAATTTTAATTTATACAATTTTCATCATGTCCAATAGATTGCTGTAGTTTCAGTTTTTGTTTTTGTTTTTCCAGTGTCACTGATGGGGACTTTAGGGTTATTTTATAAAGGATTGTGAAAACAAGCTAGCCAAATATTTCTCTTTCTGGGTAAGGCCCAGAGGGTTCAAATGACTTCTCTGGTCACAGAGCAAATTAACTGATAAGAACAGAATCTTGACTCATTATCTTCAATTAGTTTTTATTTTTTCTATTGTTCACAAGAGTACCCCCAGCCTTGTAATGCCTCTAGAGTAAGAATGATTTCCAAAGGATTAACGCACCCCACACCATACTCCCCAAGCCACTCAAAGTTGTAGAGTCACTTTTCTAGATAATTAAGACTCTTTAGGCTGCTGTAGCACTAGTAATTCTATTCGCTTGTTTGGAAAAAAAATAAGGAAGTAGAATTGGTGCTAGTCTCAGTATCTGTAAACTTTGGGAAGTATAAATTCATTATTTTAGTGTTCTCCTTTTATTTCAGTTAGAAAAAAAATGTATTTATAAAGGTAGAACTTACTAAACAAAACCAATGCAAGGATGGCTCTCAGTGGAGCAGATTGCTTTGAGAAGTACAGAACATTCCCACAGCTGCTAGACTGCTTGCTTCTTCTATGAAGACAGTTAGCATTTTCACTATAAGTGAAAACCATGAGATTAAAATTGCCTAATTTGCTTAAAATCTAAATCAATCTCTCTATCTCTCCATGTATGCGTGTGTGTGTGTGTGTGTGTGTGTGTGTGTAGGAGATTTTCAACTTTCTAGGAATCTATTGTGTAAAGTGTTTAGAGATAGAAGGAACCAGTTAGATAATTCTTAATGCTCCAGGACTTAGCTTAATACATTTGAAAATACTTGCAGTCATTAATTATCTCAGAATTTTGTCTTTTCCACTTTTCAGGAAATCTGTTGTATCCATTAGTTGCTTTTCTCTGTTTTCCCCAGTTCTATCTTATACCAACACGATGGTTTCCCTTTTCATTTTAGCTTAACAAATCTTCTCTTTTGCTTTTAGTATCAGCCATCACTGGTAGAGCATAACAGGTTGAACATATTGGTATTATACAGTTGGGAATGTTTGCTCATGGGACCCCCGGAACCTGTTAACCCTATCCTCACCTGACGTTCCATTTTGCCTCTTCTCATGATGATATTCACTCCAAGATTTATAAATTAATATAATAACAAACTGTGTTGAACACCTCCTTCTAATGTGGATAGAATACTGAAGACAAGAAATAAATTGGAGATTTGGTCCTTGCCTTCAAGTTGCTCAGTCTGATTGGAGGGGAAAAAGGAATACTTAAGAAAACTTCCATTTTGAAGTAGTTGAGATGTGGGGGTGGGGTTCTATATATCTTAAGGTGATTGATTTCTAATGTAATAAATCATGCATATTCCCGATTTCAAATTTAAAAAAAGTAATGAAAAATCCTTTTAATATTGATTGTATTGGTTTCATATGTGTCAAAACATGTCAAAACTGATCAAATTGCATACTTCAAATATGTGCATTTTATTGTACTTTGATTTTATCTCAATAAAGCTAAAAAAAAAAACCAGAAATTTTCCCTGAAAACTTAAGTAGCTGGCAGATTTCATGTAAATTTTCTGTAGGGATCAAACATTTTAACTGGTTAGCATTTCAGGTAATAAACACACACACACACACACAATTATTTAAGAGTGCTGTGTGTGTTCTGAGTGGGTGAGTTGGTTCAATGCCTCTGGACTCACACAGGAGAGGTGAATATAAAGACTGGCTCTCAGGGAAGGCCCAATGGGAGAAATTGGTATGGGGTTAAAAAAAAAAAAAACATGGAGCGTTCAAGAGTGTATCCTCTATCATGAACTTTTACGGCATACACTAAAAATCTCCCAAAATTGGCTGTTTTCAGTACTTTACACACAGCTGTTTT